GCACCAGACCCGTTCAGGGAAACGCCCACAAAGGGGGGGCGCCAAGGGGGGAACCCATCAACGAGGTCACAGAGATTTTAGACTCGAGATGGGGGGAAGAGGGAGTAGAATATCTTCTCGCCAGAGAAGGTACCCCGGCCAGCGCCAACAGTTGGGTGCCGGACTATGCTTTGGAGGAACCTCTGCTCAAAGACGAGTTTCATGCCCTTTTCCCACACAGGCCCATGCCAGCCGAGTATTTCGACGACTGGCTTTTCACACCCACACTTTCAGCCAGCACATTCCAGGGGTTCGCCTCGGACGAGGAACCGGCACTAGACACACGTTCCCCGGAGGGATCACCCTCGGGGTCTGCCTCAGACCGCTCTTATTGGTGGGACGATCGACCAGAGGAGCAGTGGCGCAGGAAGTGGCTGGGGGGTCCTTGGCAGGCAACATCCCCAGAGGAGAACGGGGGAGAGACGGACATGGACGTGTTGGGGGAGGACGTTGGGTTCGAGCACGGAGGCAAAGAGATGGAAGCAGAGGAGATCGACGTCGGCGAGAGCACGGAGAACGAGCCGGACTTATCCGGCTGGATGTACGCCACGGGGGACGAACTGTATCCGGCACTCACCCCCACAACGACGGAGCACCCAGTACCCACACCGGAAGGAGGGGAGGGGGGAAGGGGGGGCTTCGAGGGGGGGATGGATGTCAGGGGCTCAGGAGCAGAGGCACAGGAAAGGGAGGAAATAGAGAGCGAGGGGGAGGAGTCCGAAGGAAATGTTAGCGATGACAGCGGTCCGAGGTCTCTGAGTCTTTCCAGCGAATCGGAAGATTCACAGAAAGGGGCTCCCATGGTCAGAGCAAGGGGGGTGCCTAGGGGGACACCCCAGGAAGAAGGGGCCAGAGGGGACTCAGAGAGCAGCAGTTGGAAATCAGGACCAGCTTCCCCACCAGAGCCAGCGGGAGGAGAGGAGTCAGGATTGGCCACGCCTCCATCGGAGAGCGAGGAAACGGTCAAGAGGAAGGTTGAAGGCTGGGCGCGCGCGCCAAGTTCAAATGTACAGGAGGGCGGCGCAGCTGGCAGCCCGGATAGGGAGCCAGGTCCCAAAGCCCGCCGAAAGGAGGGGGAGGAGTCAGGGGGGTCAGCGTCAGAGGAGTCCAGAAAGGAGGAGACCCCGGGGGGCAGAAGGACCCAGAGGAGAAAGGAGAGACGGAAGAGGTGGAGTAAGGTTAGAGTCTTAAGTTGGTGTACAGGGGGTGGAGACTCAGATGGAGCTTCGCCGGTCTAGCCTCTAAGACGTAGAGCTGGGCGCTGCGGCTTGAAAATGGAAACTGTACTTCAATAAAGACTTTTGTACATTACTACTGGCTAGCGTTGGTCCTCTGTGAGCTGGGACCTGGAGCCAGCTCTGACACTGTAGCTAATTGTTATTGATAAACTTCCCCTCTATGAATTCCTCTAGTCTTAAAAAAAACCTTTATCTATACCGATGACATTGTTATGGCACAGGAAAGGCAGCAGGGGGATGGCAAGCTGGAGACAGACCGGGTGGCGATGTAGAGATGCCCTGGGCTGCTACAGTTCCAGCTCTGTCCAGAAGCCTGCCGGGATTCTCAGCAGGCGACCAGTCTTCCATTCCTCTCCATGGCACTAATCATAGCGATTACTTAATTCTATTCCAAGCAGGGCTGAGCCCTCCAGACCAAAGAGCTGCTATTATCCTCTCTGGTTCTGCTGCCTTAGTCCTTGCAGCAATCAGCTCCCATTGTCTCCCCCCAGCCCATAGTGCTGCCCCTGGGGAACTTGCAAGTAAACACAAGGCTAAGGGAGCTTCCTGCCAAGCTTAGGCGCCCAGTGTTTCTGCCTCCGCCTCCTTCTGTGCAGCTTTTATTCTGCTGTGTTCAGGTGGGTCAAGACAGATGGGACTCCTAGGTACTCCTATAGGCATTATTCATGAGGGCAAACCTCTGCATTAGTCACAGCCTTCTTAATGCACAAGAGCACCATTCTTCTCAAAGGATATCACTCAGGGAAGAGATTCTGCATTCCCTTATTTGCTTTGTGCTCACCAACAGCAGCACTTTCAGAATGGAGGCCCCTTTAATGAACCTGTGCTACCCCCAGGTGTTGCTGGACTACAGCTCCCATCATCCTTGTCCATTGGCCATGCTAGCTTGGGTTGATGGGAGTTCAGCAGCATCTGGGGAGGAATTAGACTACAACTGACCGTATTGGTCAGGCCAGTTGGGGCTGATTGGAGTTGGAATCAATATCTGGAGGGCCACAGGCTCCCCACTTTTGACTTACGAACATAGGAAGCACACCTTATGATGAGACCACAGGTCCATCTAGCCTAGTATTCTTTTCTCTGACTGGCAGCAGCTGCCCAACATTTCACACAGAGGTCTTTGCCAGTCCTTTAACTGGCAAAGATGCTTTACTTGGAGCCTGAAATCTTCTGCATGCAAGGAGTGTGCTGTTTGGTGGTGTTAATAGAAATAAATAGTTTAGGCCAGAGTAAGCATATTTTGTCCTCTTCAGACAGGAGCCTTATACCCTTTTAAATCTTTCAATTGATGTAGGAGTTCCATCATGTTGAGTTTTTACTGAACTTAAGCAATTGTTGATATGAACATAGACCACATTGCCACAACATATTGTTCTGCATGTTGATAGGGATTTGGAGATTCCCCTGTAAGTCACATGGGAACATACTTATAAATGGTTAAGAAACAATATTCTATAACAGATTTTTCAATAGGGAAAGAAGGTGGACTCTTTTAATTTCCAGGGGGTGGTGTGGAAAGTGCCTTGGTACATAGAAGAATGGTAGCTTCCTCACAAAAATCCAGCTTATCTGGACAGCTAGAACTCACAGGCCTTGTAAACTGCAAGGGCAGAGCCTGTTTAAATGTTTAAAAGGGAAAAGAACAGCCTTCAAAGCAGCCTGCGAGATGTTATGACAAGGCCTGTGCATAGTCCTGGAACTGTCATCCACATGCTGGATGAATTAGTCAGTGACCGCAGGTTGTTGTGGCAGTGCCTGATAGATACATATACCTGGGACCATGTCCTGATAAGAGTGAACACAACCATGAAGGATTGCAGCAGCACTTACATTTGGTAGGCTTCTGAGCTTGCTTTATGTTACTGCATGCACCGAATGATCAACTGTAAACCGACCTCACAAGACCCCAAGTCATCTTAGCCTTACTGTGTGTACTCGCTGGTGGCTGTGATAACTTTTACCCTGATTTTCAGACGGAGAAGTGAAGTTTGTAGGGAGGCAGCAACTTGCCCAAGGTCACCCGGCAGCAAACAGCAATCCTGTATCCAAGCCAGGCAGCTCCTGAGCTCCCTGGGTGTTGGCTCCTTCCCGAAGAAGGGTTGCACTTACTGCCAGTCATTACCATATGGCAAGCACTGTAGTGCCCAGCAGGGATCTGGCCCAAAGAACGAGAGCAGCTTGTTCCTAGCTCTCTCTGTCTGGCACAAATATCCTGCAGTTGCCAGTAATGCTGGCTTTAAAAACTCTTTGCTTACTAGTACAGAGAGTGCATTGTCATTCTGATCCAAGTGCTGGGGGCAGGTCATAGTATTTAAAATAAGAGCATGGCTGCCACTCCCACCTGACGTGCGATCAATGAACAGAAATAACGTTGGGCTAGCTAGCTAGCACCTGGTGGTCCTGTGAGATTATTCTCTCTAGCTCTGCCCCTTCCTAGGGGAAGAGAACAAGAGAGGGAGGCTGTGAATCACTGTCACATTTGTTGAAGGAAGCTGGCACCAGCAATGACTAAAACTCTCCCCCTGCCTCCATCTTTCCGTGGGGCCTGAAGGAGAGATTTAAGAGAGTATGCAGTAGTTCTTCAGCACTGAGATTAATATAAGGAAGGAAGTACAGTGGTACCTCGGGTTACATACGCTTCAGGTTACATACGCTTCAGGTTACACACTCTGCTAACCCAGAAATAGTGCTTCAGGTTAAGAACTTTGCTTCAGGATAAGAACAGAAATCAGGCTCCGGCGGCGTGGCGGCAGCAGGAGGCCCCATTAGCTGAAGTAGTGCTTCAGGTTAAGAACAGTTTCAGGTTAAGTACGGACCTCCGGAACAAATGAAGTACTTAACCCGAGGTACCACTGTATCGACACTTTTAATTAACCATCTCTTGAACAGTTTTAGGTCAAACAGGTTCCTCACCACTCCAGAAGTGGGTTATCTCTGTCCTAATGAATGAGCAGAGGCTGGAGTGGGAGGAAGCATGTGAAGTACACTTTCCCAAAACCTGGGAGAGCATTCCGTCAGAGCAAGCATTTTTGCTTGCCAGAAAGAACCAGCCCCTCTCATCTCCCACTTTGCAGTGTTCTGGAGGTGTGTGCTGGGGGAAGGGAGGTAATTGTGAACCCTGCACATGAATTATTTTTCTGCAGGGACCCTTATTTGAACCCCCAGCAGAGGTGGCTAACCTGCAGCTCTCCAGAGTGTGAGAGTCTCCAGTTGTGGGAGTCTCCAGTTCCACAACCCTCAGCCAGCATGCCCGCCCAATGGTTAGGAATGATGGGACTTGTAGTCTAGCAACATCGTGTGTGTGTGTGTGTGTGTGGGTGGGTGGAACTGGCTCTCTAGCCCGGGCCTACAGCAAACTTAGCAAAGTGTTTCATCCTATCAAAATTCTTTCTCCTTTTCTGTAGCTAGTCTCTCTGCAAAGAGGGGCAACACTTGAATTAATGGGGGAATGGGGAGGGAGGGATCCAACCCAATTCCCCAGACCCTCCCTCCCAGTTTTAGACAAAACACGCTCCCACTTTAGCTGTCTAAAAGCTGTAGGGAAGGGAGCTGTTGCAAAAGGGCCTCCAGGGTCTGCCTTGCAATCTGAGCACCAGAGGTAGTCCCACAACTCTTCCACGAAGTGTTGCTCCTGTGTCAACCTCAATTCTCTTCTCTATAACTGCCGCTACTGCTGCAATCCCTCCTCCCAAACGTGCAGCCAGCGAGACGCTTGACACAGGGCAATGTACAAACTTCTTTATTTTATTATTTCTTCAAAGACTAGTAAGAGCAGGATGGTCACCATAGGGTGGCTGGATGGAGCCTCTTTGACTCTTCGCTGTCCCCTTCTACCTGCGTCCTCCACCCCACCCAGGCAGGGAAAGGGGTGTCACCGGCTCCCCACTTGCTCCTCCAGGTTAAATGGAAAGGCTGGTGGGGTGTGAGGGCAATGGCTCAGAAGTGGTGCACTCCGTAGCCTAAGGTGTTCATCTCTCTGGCGGGAGACGGACGTCCCCCAGCAGCTTTAACCTGAAGGGCCCGCAGGGTGCCTGGCTTGCCCCATATCTTTCCATTGGGGAACCCCTTCAGCACACTTAACCCCATCGCTGTGTTCGATGTCCTTCTCAGGTGCAGATGGGACAAGGACTAGCCAGGTAGACACAATGACCCTAGAAAGCAGAGATGGCACAAGCAAGACAGGATGGTTTACACATTCCGGCAGGTTAGTGCACAAGGCAGTAGGGCTGCCTGGCGCCTCCCAATACAGAGCAGTGACAGGCAAGCAAAGGGGAATGCATGCACGGCGGGGTGGGGAGGATGCAGGGCCCCTCCGGCAATGCTCTTGACTGGGTCCCGGAGGGGACTGGGATCAGTTCTTCTGTGCCCATGCGGAGCCCCTGAGGGATATCCTGCTCTGGAAGCAATCTGTAAACAAATGGGTTGCACACTTGGAACACGTTGGCACTGACACACTGGAGACTCCAGCACGCCCCCTGGGTTTGTGCCAACGCACACACATCCGCCCTCGCGACAAGTGCTGGCACATTCACATGTACACCACTGGCTTTGCTTACATTCTCATGCAACCACGCGCACACAGAGATATGCACCACATCATAAATGAATAGTGAGCATTCCTTCCAACCATCCATCCATCTCTCTCTCTCTCTCTCTCTCTCTCTCTCTCTCTCTCTCTCTCTCTCTCTCTCACACACACACACACACACACACACACACACAGAGTCAGGCATGCACTAATGTAAACAGACACTCATATGTGTGATTCTGAGCCTTAAAACATGTAGGAGAAAAAGGGAGTTAAGGGATCTCGGAAGTGGCCAGATTTATTTGCCTTATACATGGGATGGTGGAGGGAGGCTGGCTTAAACATACTGGTGTATATGCTACAACTTTTCTCCCCCCCCCCTTATGTGCATACACACACTGAAGTGCACATACACCATCAGATTAGAAGCAGCTTCTTCTCAATTTACTAAAAGTGGTAATGACGAAGCACTAGGCAAGGGGTTTCCTCCAGGCTACCTTGGTGGTGGCCTGGGAACTGCTGCAGTGTAGTGCCTTCCAGTGCTGCAAGGTCATGATATAGGAAAAGCCCATACAATGGCTCCTCTCCCAACCAGCGTTGCCTCTGCTTGTTGTGGGGTGTTTGGGAAGGAGCTGAAGCATGAGCATGTCTCCTGTGGTTTCTGATGTTCCTTTGGTGGAGCAGGAAATAGCTGGTGTTCCCGCATTGAAAAGGTAACTGGAGAAGAGTCCCACGATGGCAGCACTGAGATTCCCACATGGCGAAGCCAGGTTTAATCCTTCTCTGTTGCTGTGGGTGCTGCCGTCCCAGGTCTCTCTTATACCCCTTGACTCTTATCTTTTTTTACCTTTAGGTCTTGCCCAGAATAGGTCCACAGAGGCCAGCAGAAGCCTCGCGGTCAGTGGGACCCAGGGCTGTCAAAGCCCACTGTGTGGGATCGGGCCACCAACGTGTGGCTGTAGCATTAAAAAAACAAAGTAAACCGAGAGCATCAGCAACACCACCCCAAAGGCAGGAAGCTGGCTTCAGCATCAGCCCTTTGCCCCATGTGAGAAGTGGACTTATTGCAGTTTTCAGCATTCAGCCAGCAGGGTCCAGAAGCAGCCAGCGGACGTGTGAGAGCCCAGGACAAAGCAGTGCCACCTCGCCACAGAGCTCACCTGCCAGCAGCCAGCAGGGAGCATCCTGAATTTCCGCTGGCCAGTTCCTGCACACCACAGTCATGCTCTGTGTCTGGTAAGAGGTGATTGCACACACAATGGTCGGCCATGGCAAAAACGGCTTGTGAGCAAATAAGGTGCTGAATGGGCTGCTTCCCCTTTGCCACCCCCACCCTGGCCCTCTCTACTCCGCCCTGCCCGAAGCTCCTCTGCCCCCCACCCCCAAGTCCTGAGCTCCATGGAGCCGTACAGTGACCATCTCGTGAGTGACTAGCAGAGACAATAAGACAGATGGCAGGCGTTGGGGTGAATTACCCTGTTACAGAGACACCAATGCAAAAAAGACACGCATGGGCCACATGGTGGGTGGCCGGAGACACAGACAAGCGGGCAAGGGGGGGAGGTCCCCCCCCAGGGACGCTCCTTTGTACAAGATGAGAGAGCGCAGCCCGCAGAGTTTTTAGTGTTGATAGTATTGCAGTCTAACTGATATGGCTTTAACTATTAGGGAGGGAGGGAAGGAAGGAAGGAAGGAAGGAAGGAAGGAAGGACACTCAATGGAGGGAGATTTCTTTCAGATTCAAACTCAACCCCAACCAAAAAGCAAAAGCCCCCCAGGGGCACCGGGGAATCTTGGGGTGGGGGAACAATTGGGACCTTCCTTCCCAAACAAATATACAGAAGAATGAGAACCACAGGACTTCCCCAAGGAAGGCTGGGCCCTTGCCTTTGTTTTCAGCAGTGGCCAAGGTCTGGTGGCGTTTGGCAGGGTGCCAACCAACAGCAGGGAGATGTCTCCCCCCACTCCCAAACCGCCCTTCCTTGTCTCCTAGTCACTGCTTTTTGCTTAATCTTGTGGCTCTGGAGAAAGGATGGGGTTAGCAGGCAGGGAGTGAATGCAACAATAGCACAGCAAAGGAGAGTCACTGGGTGTTTTTCTTTTGCGGGTTGGGGGATCTGGAGATCGCCACACCCATGGGCAGGATGGGGGCTGCAGAGGTGGGAGAGCAGAAGATTCTCCCACAGACCATACAGTACCTCGACCCCCGCCCAGAAATCAGTGTGTATATGGGGGTGGGGGTGGCGGTCCTTGGCATTTCTCAGTTGAGGAGAAAACTGGGGCAGCATGAGAAGGAAATAGATGTTTAGGTCATGGAAGCAAGAGTAGTGCAGGCAAGATTTGTGTCTGTGCTGCTCTGTGCACCATTTTTGCATCTGCAGGGGCCTGTAGCAGGATCCTGGGGGACCAAGATAGCCACAGCAATGGGCTCCCAATCCTAGCCTAAGAGATGAATTGAGGCTCCTCATTCCACGAGACTGCTCTTCCAGCCAGGGGTGAGCCACACACGCTGGCAGTTCTGTCCCAGGGTCCCTGCATCATCCCCCTTCAAAGAAGGTGACAATGATGACCCTCAGGTTCTCCAGCAACACAAATGCAGCTGGCTATTCCCAGGCTGGAAAAAGGAGCTCATATTCCATCCTCCATGTGCTGCTGGGTGCATCTGACCCTATTCCCCTTTCTTTGAGTTTGGGTGCTCCGAAGTGGGTGCTTATTATGGAATGGGTGCTCCTCACGTAGGCAAATGCCTGTCTGTGTTCCCTCCCCTTTATTTATCCCAGATTTACCCTTTCTGGGGAAATCCCTGGGTAAACCTCTTGCCACTGACCCGTTTACAACATCTAAATGACCCATTCACAACAATAAGCCCCTGCCTGCAAGCGCCCTTGATCCACTTCAGTCCCCTGCTCCCCAAATCAAGACTCAGTCTAAACCCTCCACTTTGGAGAGCAAAATGGCAGAAGGAGAGTGGCCCTGGTCCTCATACTCTGCAGCCTGTAGCTGCCCCAGTTCACCCCCTGCAGCTCAAATGACAAAGGATGAACTGGATCAGAAAAAGATGGGCGAGACAGCGAGGGTGACAACCTCTTGTCTTCCAACCTCTTGTCCGCCACATCCATGAGGAGCCAACAGGTCTTGGAACCCAAGACCAAAGGTCATCCTGCAAGGAAGATCTGATGCTTAATTTTGGCCCTTGGCCGGCTGTAGTGGGGCTGTGGAAGGTGTGTCTGAATGTGTGTGCTTGAAATGGAAGTCGTCGTAGCAGGGACAGCTTTCTCCCCTGCCTCCCACACACGTAATTCTTGGTGCAGGTAAGGTCTCTCCGCATTAGTGTTTGGGGAGTGCGAGTTCGATTCCTTCCAGAAACAAGCTCCTCCTTTTCCCCAAGCATGTGAGAAACAACCCAGCAGCCCTTGGGTGCGAGGATGAGGGCAGGGGGTGCTCCTCTTGGTTGCTCTCTTAGTCAAGAGATGGAATGTGCAGGGGCTGGCTTTGCCCCAAGGTGTGAAGGGAAATGGGCACCCAGTCCCTCCTGGCAGTCAACATGGGGGGGGGGGTCAGGAATGTGCATGGGGGGGGGCAGAGCCCAAGCCCCTTCCCCAGGGCCCCCATGAGGTTGCATCAGTGAATTTGGTCCAAGTTCCTCACCCTGTGCCCAGTTTTTTTTTTTGTGGGGTGGGGGAGAGGGGGGTCGTTTCCCCATGTAGCCAGCTGGCACTTTGGCACAACAGAACTCCAGCTCTGCCACGGGGCAGGGGGCAGGGATCGGAAAGGGGGAGGCAGGCTCCCGGCAGTGGCCCAGCCTGCAGCTCCAGGGAGCAGAGCAGGTGAGAGTGGTTTTTGGTCTGATGGGTAGCAAGAGGTGCAGCGAGGGGGGAGCACGCCCTGTGCCTGGTGTGCTTCTTCCTGGGGGGAAAGGGGTGGGGTGGGGCAGTGTGGTGGCTCGGCAGGGGCCCCGTGGCACAAGGACACGTTTGGGGTCTTTCCTTGGAACAAAAGAAAAAGGAATCAAATGAAGTAAAAAAATAAATGAAAATCCCCCCCTGCCCCACCCTCAACCCAAGCTCTGAGTTGGCAGTGCCAGGGATGGTGGGCAGCGCAGGGCAGGAGGCTGGTGGGGCAGGGCTACTTCTTGAACATGTCCTGCAGTGGGCCCGGCAGGTACTTGAGCACCGTGTCGAGGATGCTCTCCTCGTCCTCGTCTTCGTCGTCCCCGCAGCCTGCTGGGATGGCTTTCTTGGGGCGCGTCAGGCTCCCTTCGCACGGCTGCTCCAGCGCTGCCTTCTCCTCCGCCTCTTTCTCCTCCTTCTTCTTCAAGCCGTACTGCACGGGAGACACCCACAAGAAGTCAGAGACAGGCATGCAGGCGTTTGACGCAGTTTGGGTTTATACCATGCAAAGTGCAAAGCATACCTTTAAAAAGAATGATTTTGCCCTTATTTTTGCAGGCTGATTTCTGAGTACGCTCAGTAGGGAGTTAAGTCCCTTTGACATCACTGGGACTTACTTCTGAGTGAACCTGCACGCAGCTGCATTGACGGGTCCATTGCGGCACCCACAAATGTCCCCGTGAGGCTTCCTATGCTGCATTTCAAGCCAGTCTCTTGTTGCTGCCTCGGCTCCATGAGGATATGGCTGAATGACAAGCTTTAGCATCCTCTTGGCAAATACGCTGTTTTAACTGTGCATTTTATATTTGACTTCCATTAGTAATGTGGTTTTTTTCCCCAATCTGTAAGGTAACATTTTAGTTTCCTGTTAATTCTGTTGCTTTGAATTTATACTTTATAGTTGACTTTCTTCAGCAATGTTTGATTCTGGGTTGCTTTATGTGATGTGCTAATGTGTTGCAAACCACTTCAAGATTTTTTCCTTTAAAATATGAAGTGGTATAGAAATTGACGACAACAACAACAACAACAACAGGAGAGGCAAGGATGCAAGTGGCTGCTCCTACCTAGAGCAACAGACACTAGCAAGGAATTGGAAACATGTTATGGCAGAGCTGAAGAACCCGTTTCCAGCCCTGGGGCCACACTTCCTTTGAGGTAGCCTTCTGAGGACCACTTGCCCGTGGTGAAGGCGGCCAGGTGCCAAATGGAAAAATAAGCTGCGGAAGAAGCCTTGCTCTGTGTGTTCATTTGCACAAGGCTGGAATCTTCTGTTCCCATCTGCCCCTGTTAGCAAGATATTATGGGCTGGGCTGGCTGCTGCGCTATCTGCCTCGGCAGAAGGATATTGAAGATTGCAGATAGTGAGCGCCAGGCCCCTACTACATCCACTTACAATGTGGGCAATAAAGAGAGACCCACACCGCCCCCACTAATAATGTGAGGACAGTGAGAGCTAGGAACTGGGCAGTGATTGACAGAGAGAGATAAGGACTGGGGAGAGACATCTTTGGAAAGGTTCCTTTCTGCCAGACGCCCAGAATCCACCCACCTGGCTCCCAGCGCTGATGTTAATCTTGCAGCATGGATCATATGTCTAGAGCCTTTTAGCTCAGAGGAAAAGTGTGCAAAGGGGGCGGGGGGGGGGAGAGGGCATAAGAAAGGTGCATAAAGTTATGCATGCTCTAGAGAAAGTGGATGGACAGAAGCTTGCCTCCTTTTCTCATTATACTGGTACCTGGGAAAATCCAATTAAACTGAATGCTGGGGGAGTCAGGATAAGAAAAGCACTCCTGCGGCTGTGACGGGCTCAGTTGGGCCCTCCCATGGCTGGGAGTAGGCCCTGTCATGTCTTTTGGAGGGTGCGCTGGGCCCCATTGGGTCTCCTCCCACCATGTGACATCACACACACCATGGGTGTGACATCACACGCACATGCTGCCCCGCCCCCAATGCTGGGCGGAAGCTGGCGCACCTGGAAGACAACCACTTATTCCTGTTGGTTGTCTAGCCCTAGCAGCTGGTATGCAGAGGCACACTGCCACTGAACAAGGAGGCTCTGGAATGCTTTCCCTCCATCCTTCCCTCCAACCTTGCACGGAATTCCTTCTCTGCCTACTGACTCTAGTTTTTCACTCTCCCCCTGGCCTCCTGTCGCTTTGCATTCACAGCAATTTCCCCACATACAATGTTTCTGTCCTCTTGATGCCCCTGTTATCCTCCTCCCACCATTCACATCTCTTTAGCTGCTTTCTTCGGCCTGGCTGATTTGCTCTTGGCGGAATACTGTGTCTGTGCTGAAATTTGACACTTGCTTTCCCAGTGGAATCGCTCAGGGCTCAACAGGAACATTTAAAGCTTCTCAGCAGTGAGGTGCAGGATGCACCCTGGCTGATTAATCCTCCCAATGCTGGTTCTCTCTGAGTGGCACAGAGAGAGGATCTGCCCCAAGAGACTTTTGTTCTCAATGCTTTTGTTCGAAACAGAATTATGGTGGACCATTGCGTGCCTTTCCCCACAAATCAAAGTTCAGACTTTCTGCCAATGTAGATGATTACGTTCCCTTCCAGTTCGGCTTTCTAGTGATGCGCTTCCTGCTTGTGCAGCTCAGGAAAAGAAGGTGGACATACAGACAGACCAGACGTGGAGATAAAAGTCTTGCAGCAAATACATGCTCCTAGGGTCTACTTTACACATGTGTGTCTGTCCCTATGTGAGCATGCAATGCATCAAATAATAACTGGTATGTCAGCATGATCCAGCACAGGCCTATATTTCTATCATCTCACACACAATGCTTTTAAATGGAGTCTGTTCACATTTTCAGTTGTCCAGCTATCCAGTATATAGTAGTAATCAAATGCAGTGTGAGCTAGTCCCTAGAGGACAGGGAAAGGATTTGCCAGGCAGTGATGAGTCACAGACCTGTAGAGTTGGAAGGAACCACAAGGGTTATCCAGTCCAACCCCTTGCAATGCAGGAATCTTTCTCCCAACATGGGGCTCAAACCTACGACCCTGAGATTAAGAGTCTCATGCTCTACCTACTGAGCTATCCCTCTGCTCATCCTTCTGGTTTGGGGTCTGGGCTCACGACGAAATTAGGAGTTGAGTCCTTCCAACATGCCAATCATCAAGAACTCCTTTGATGACCTGAATCAGTCCGTTGACACACAGTTGATGTATCCTGGACATCTTTGTGTCCTGGACATCTTCAGTCCATATGCCTGATACATATTGGTCACCAATCAAAGGATAGATGATGGTCCTCCAATGACCCTTTCTCTCCCCCTTGCCACATGTCAAATAAAAGGTATCCCAGCAACAGCTGATAGGAGGTGGGAAGAGAGGGATGGACAGAAGGGGCAAAGCAGACATGCAGAGTATAGGGCAGGCTGCAGTGGTTCTTTGCTGAATTTGAAGGCTGCTCTTCCCCCTAGGACCACACGCCATAGACTCATGAATGATTCTCCTCTGCAGCATAAACAGCGAGAGCAGATGAGAGCATAATCATTCATCAGTGTGTAGGGGTGTGATGTCCCGGAGGGAATGGCAGTCTTTGAGGCCTGTGCCTGAGCTAAAGTGATCTCTGCTTAACAGGCTGTTACTTCTGCAGGTGCAGGGTCTTGGGATCACCATAGGGATCAGGAGGGAGAAACCCAAAGCCTTTCTAGAAAATATCAGCAGCACTGTGAAGGCAAGAATGGATGCACATTGAGCTAGTGAGGCAGTGGGTGGGTAGCAGGAGAGGTTGAGGCAGTACTTCAGCTGCTGGGTGAGCACTTGCTGTCAGTCTTAAGGAACCTCTTTCCCCCAAAGCATCCGGGTAATAAATTTGGGGATCAGAGGTGACCAAAGGCCATTTCGCTGAAGGAAGAAGATGGTAACTTTGCAACACCAAAGACTGCCTCTCCATCTCCAGTGACTGGCTCAGTAAGCAGGAAGGGGAGGATGCCACTGGGGCAAAATTCTTGGGGTTGCATAAATAACCCTTAGTCATGTTAACCCACTGGAAGCTAGTGTGGTAGTGAGTCACATGGTGAGCCACTTCTACCCGAAGTGTCAAGGACATGACTCTTTACTCCTTCCTCCCATGTAATATCTTTTTTTAGATCGTTAGAGTTTGTAAGCTGCCCTGAGAGTCTTTTTTTGGCTAAAGGGTGGGGTATAAATGCTGTGAATAAATGAATACATACATACGTAATATGGCCTTTCCCTTCTAGCCAGTGTGTGTGTGTGTTACGCACCTTATCACGGATTTGCTGTCGGACCTTTTCCCGTTCCGCCTCCATGCGGGCATGCTTTGCCTTGCGCTCTTCCTCTTGCTGCCGCAGGGCTTCTTGTCGCTCTTCTTCCTTCTTCTGGGCATCGGGGTCTTTCTCCTCTTCGCCTCCCAGCATTTTACCCATGTCCTTGGTGGCCCCTGCAAGTGATGTTAGGAAACCACAGTGACTCCTGAGCACAGCTTGTTCCTTTTCAGCTATTATTCCTCATACAGCCATGCTCTCACGCATGGAATAAACTATTGCATACTCAGGGTCAGCATGAGTTCATAGGAACTGAGCTGGGTGTGCCATCTCTGGGTTTGGAGTTAACAATTTCAGGTCATCCCACTGCCCTCAATCTCAGATGATGTTCAGGAGAGCCTATCATAGGCAGAACGCACCTGGGAATCCAGACTTCGTTCCCTGGTGTCCAATGAGGATTACCGGACTCATTTTTCTGTAGGCACAGGGCTTGCTGTGATCAGCTGAGAACAGTTGGGAATAGCAGATCATATGGGAAACTCCTACATAATCCCCGCAGTTCTGGGGTGCCTAAAGCAGCTAATGTAGAGACTTCCCCCGTGATCCACCTCTTCTCCTCATCCAAATGTTACCAGCGTGGTTCTGGGATTCTGGTAAATACCATGCGTTTGTTTCACTCCAGCAATGTAAGTACAGCTCAAGAGCCAATGTAGTGTGAGCACTCAAGCATACCCTTGTCCTAAATCGCTTCCAACTTAACTCTTGATATGCCATAGCCAGAGGCACAGACCCCTCCCCACTTTCAGAGAATGGGTAGACTAGGTTAAAGGACAGAGCCTCTGAAGCAATTGCCCTGTCAAAGACTGTTGTAGGATGGGAGTGAGGATACTTTTCATCAGGTTCATGACTGGGTGGGAAAGGGTTAAACCTACCATCCCCACATGCTACAGTCCTGATGAAAATCCCTCTCACTAATTTATTTTTTAAAAACTCTGGTGTGCTTCCAGGTGATGTGCTTAGTATGCCTCACATGCAGCTTGGCCCTTAAGTTGACAGCTGGCTCCAAACAATTGCGGAAACAAAGTATCCAAGCTGTGGTGTGGTTTGGCTTGACTTGCTACCATCACTGCCATCACCTGCTGCAGTGAGCTGTCCATGGTCCTACTTGCCGTCTCTCTTGGATCCTTGTTGTGCATGGCCAGGTCAACCCTGTGGGCTCCAGCTTGGACCAGGACATGATACACTGTGGTTTTAAAGCATCCCTTTAACTCTTGATGGCCACAAATGTTGTTTGCCCCAATTCTCACCCTACCCTCTAGTCATCAGAGAGAAGGTGTGCAGCACTTTCCAGCGGCTGCAGTCCACTTGTCGCTATGACCCCCCCGCTCCATGTCCAAGTTCAGCCATATATTTCATTGTCTGTTTTGTCTTCTATCCCTCTTTTTAGAAACCAGGAATTTAAATGCAGGAATAGAAGACTGGGAAGAGGCAAAAGGGTTAAGGAAAGATAAGCCATCTCTTCCTGGGAGTTCTGACTACACCTTTTGAAGGGAATGGGAGGGTGGATTGATGGATGGAGTTCCTTGGGCAATGCAAAGCAGCCACCAGCCTCTCCATCTGCTTTGCAAAGTAGCTAAAATCTGTTGGATGACCTTAGGGCCAGAAATTTGACAGTTCTCTATCCCAGATGAAATGCCTCGCCATAGCAAGGCCCCATGCCCAGTATGATTCTCACTGGCTGACAGCAGAAGGTCAAAAATCTAGCTATTTGGGGATGGTGGCCCTACAGGACCAATGACCCACTCCATGCTGGGTTACAGCAAGATTTAGTCTGAATCAGGTGGCAAAGCCTGCAGGGAGCAAGTTCTAAACTGCTCTATGCAGCTCCCAGACAAGACCTTTTGCTGATGTCTGATAGTAACAGGGAAGACAGAGTAGCATAGATCCAGCAATTAATAGCTCCCTCTTGTTTAATTTTTGGCTGCTGCCTGTACTGCCTCAGGACAATGTGAAATCTGATGATTGAGTGGCAGCTGAAATAAGCTGGGCATTCCTTTAACGCAGTATTTAAAGGGCTTTTTTCAGGGGTGCAACAAGAATGTGGATATAAGACCAATGTTTACATTTATCTTAAGGAGGTGGCCTTCTAAAAGAAAATGTCAGGAGCAGGCCTTTCACTCTGCCAGAGACTTGTATGCTAGCTAATTGAACAGCTACTAGCACATTTCCTTGACAGATCTCTAGAGGGAGCTCAAATGTAACTAACTTGTACTAAGGGTCCTCTCAGACAGAGGATGAATCCCAGATCTTTGTTCTCCCTTAACTGTAAGTTAGTGCTATGGAGGTGGAACACAGGAAGGGATCACCCTTGGTGCAGGAATGATTGTAGCAAAGGCCATTATGTGCACCCATTGGCAACTTTGAGTTTTAAAAACGGAAGCTATGCACTCCAGTACTAGAAAGAGGGAGTGAAAATAAAGGGAGTACCAAATATTATGGGTCTGTTAGCTGCTATACAGAGAAGGATACCTTGTTTAATGTTTTCCTTCTCTCTCTCTCTTTCACTCACTCTCTCTCCATCCTCCATCCCCAGTTTTCAAAAGCTACATAAACACTCCTCCTGAAATGACACACTGGGGACATTCAGCTGCTAAGCACTGAATAAACAATAAATTAACTTTCTGTAAAATTACAAAGTGGTACAGGCTAAAGTTTTGGGTGTCTTGGGGGCGGGGCAGTGCTCCCTCCCAATAAACCATGATCCCCAGATTCACAGGTTTCTCTTTTGTGGCATATTTACATATATATACATATATAAGGTAAAGGTAAAGGTACCCCTGCCCGTACGGGCCAGTCTTGCCAGACTCTAGGGTTGTGCGCTCATCTCACTCTATAGGCCGGGAGCCAGCGCTGTCCGCAGACACTTCCGGGTCACATGGCCAGCGTGACAAGCTGCATCTGGCGAGCCAGCGCAGCACACGAAATGCCGTTTACCTTCCCGCTGGTAAGCAGTCCCTATTTATCTACTTGCACTTAGGGGTGCTTTCGAACTGCTAGGTTGGCAGGCGCTGGGACCGAACGACGGGAGCGCACCCCGCCGCGGGGATTCGAACCGCCGACCATGCGATCGGCAAGTCCTAGGCGCTGAGGTTTTACCCACAGCGCCACCCGTGTCCCCTCATATACATACATATTTACATATATATTTACATATATATTAGTTTTGTAACTCTAATTACATTCTAATGTTATTTAATTATTGTCGTTCTCCTCTGTTTTCTTTTGTTTCTTTCCCCCCTCTTTTCCTTTCCTTTCCTTTTCTCTTTTTTTTTCCTTTTTACTTTCATCTACTGTAAAAAATTCAATAAAAAGGTTTCTTTTCTTTTCTTTTCTTTTCTGTAAGTACGTTTCTGGCATTTGCATAACCTGTGGTATGAGGCAAAATGTAAAAGAAATATTTTCCTCATTTGTGTTGTGAGAAAGTAGCCTTCGTTTGTTTATTTGGAGTATTTGCAGCCCCCCACCCTCCCTGAAAAATTCCTCCCAATGCCCGTGGCTAGAGTGTGTCTCTTGTCACCAGTTATGCCATGGACACTAGCCAACCAATTCTTGTGGTGCATTTTGTGGAGCAGCAGTTCACATGGCAGTCCCAATTTTCAGTTAATAAATTAGTGCTTTTCTCTGTGAGAAAAAGATACATACTGAGAAATGGTGCCGAAAATCCACCACCTAAGGTTGTCCTCCTTTCTCCCTCCTTAATGACAGAACCAGCTATATTTTGGCTCCTAAGGACAGAGCCAGAAAGCAGATTTTGATGCAGATTAAGCAGGGCATTTGGACAGCTTTGTGAACCAGTTGTTCCTGAATATATGTTGGCTGTGGATTTACCAGTCCCAGCTTTCCTTACAAGCCCTTCCTGAAAGTAGCAGGTCCATAGCACGCGTCTTCTGAATCAGATGCTGTGAGCATTCTCCACCATGGGGTGGAGCTGCTCCCTCTTCCCCAAGCCTTCACACATCTGTGCAATGGAGCTGTGAGGCTTGGCATGTGCTGTGCGACGCTGAGCAGCTCAGCTAAGAGCTAGGCAGCAACATTTCCCATTGCTGTTTGTCAGCAATTTAGAGTTACAAACCAGCCTTGGCTCCCCAGGCCCCCAGGAGACTTCAGGGTCTTTCATCTTCCTGAGCTCCATCTCCCTCCTTCTTTACTTCTGTGACTCATTTCCACTTTGCCCAAACCAGCTAAGCCCTTTGCACAGCCAGAAGCAGTAGTAGCTGCTTGGGGAAGGGAGGGAACCTGCACATGGCAATGGCCCTGTTTGAGTGCTCTGGGTAAAAGCAGGTTGTTGTGTCTTGGTCACTTGTAGCCAGGAGGTGAAGGCATGATCTACAACAGGCAGGCATTTTTCCTAACCTTCCTTTAAAATATAAATGGGAAACCAATGGGGCTGGCACTGTGTCCTGTTGGCTGCAAAGGCACGGGCAAGAAAAATAAAAGCAGTTCCGTTATCGGACGTGCCTGGAGGAGTGTCAGGCTAGGCTCTCTACTAGATCCAGTTTGTCATTCAGCAGGGCCAGTGCCAGTCTTTCGTGGGCCATTGGCATAAGGCTGCTGATGGCTGCTGTCCCCATTGGGAATTCCTTGCCTCTTGCTGCTGCAGCAGGTGACACCACTGCCAGTTACTCCCTTCCTTTCCCCTGGGCTTAGATGTGGCAGCCATGTATGGTAGAGGAAGCAGGGCTTATCCTTGCTTGATCTGTGCCAGCTGCCCGATATCTTAGGTTGCTTGAGATGCAGTGTTTGATGTCAACAATGAGTGCTGCATTTTGAGCCATCAAGGATGGTCGTTGGCCATTGTGCACCAGAGCTGTGCACCAGTTTGACTCCCGCTCCAAAAGCATTGTTGTCACCAGCTGAGGATCTATCCAGGGGGGAGCTGAGTGGAAATAGCAAAGGGTAGCAGCAAAAAGTGGGGTCCCCAATGCACTGGTGGGATTAGCAGGAATGCCACCCAAAGCTTCAATGGGAGTGGCTGTGGTGGATATTGGTCCTTCTGAGTGCCAGTGCTTGACCATGCCAACCTCTGATGCTGGCTCTGTCATTCAGGACCCAGAATGGCTAGGGCCATAGCTAAGTGGCAGAGCATCTGCTTTGCATGCAGGGGGTCTCCAGGTTCAATGCCCCCATCTCCAGGAAGGGCTGGGAATGCCCCTGGCCTGAAACCCCAGAGACCCAATGTCAGCCACTGTAGCTGGGTGGATCTTTGGTCTAACTCAGCAGAAGGCATCTCTCTACGTTCCTCAGAGGGAGCAAAGGATCACAGCAAAGATTCATGCACAACAAAGCTCCAGAGAGGGTGATAATTGAGATGACAAACTGCCAAAGTAAGCTGCCCACCCCAGGAAGGGCATTGATACAGAGTTTTTCTAGGGTGTAGCTCTCATACCACTTTGTGTAAAACTGTCGGAACTGGTGAGAGTGCCTTTGAGCAAGTGCAGAGTGCCTGTTACTTCTGAGGAGCCGCAACCAAGTTCCACACATTTAGAATGATGGAGAAGGAGATGAACTGGACACTGTCACTACTTACGGCCTGTGAGTGGAGTTAGTAATGCGCATCTTATTTCTTATGCTGCCTGAAGCCTCTGATCCAAAAGCCGAGGTTTGCCATTTTAAAAAAATGTTTACAATCCTTATGATTTGCAGAAATGACAGAAAAGGTGATGCTGCACTCCCTGGAGCTGCAGTGAAGCTGCTCTGGATAAAAAATGGGGCTCCCAAAGATATACTCAGAATAATCACACCACACACACACACACACACACACACACACACATCTACATTTGTATCTATATGTATATAACATACTCTAAGTAGGGCTCTTTATGCAGCCAAAGCACAATTCATGCACAAGAAGGAGATGTCAGCAGACTTGGAGATACTACAATATTTGCAGAAGTACAAAGAAAACAGATAGGGGAGAAATTAGAAAGAATTTCTAAGCCCAGTGAGGACTGAGCATGTCAGTGGGCACAGAATGCTGATGTACTGTTCGGGTTTGGGCTGGGTGTGGAGGAAAACTCTCTCTCTCTCTCTCTCTCTCTCTCTCTCTCTCTCTCTCTCTCTCTCTCTGTGTGTGTGTGTGTGGAATGGGACAGTGTGGCCAGAAACCAGAGCAGAAGCATTCCATGCTGCAATATTTTGTTGCAGTTTCTACCTTTTAAGAATCTGGTTGCATTTCCCTCTAGTCAGGATGTACTGGAGAAGAGAGCTTTGCTGGTCTACCCATGAGTTTCTGGTTTGCACCTCCTGGGAGTCAGAACCTGGTCTAATGAGCTAGGCAATGGTGGAAGACAGAGGAAAGAGGCCCAACAAGAAAGTCAGTGAGTGAAAGGTGACAGGTATTTGGGTTGTGAGCTGAGAGAATGTTTTCCTTCCCTGGTGGGACACCTGTCACTCTTCCTTCTCTCTCTCTCACTCTTTTTTTTTTTTTTTTTTGCAGAAAGGAATACAATGGAGGTGGAGTGAGATTTGATGTGCTCTGACAGCAGAGGTAAGCAATGAGAGGACAGGTTGCAGCAAAGGGAGTAGCAAGCGGAGAAACACTGTGCACAGCTGCCTGCCTGGTTGACTGTCCAGGAGGGAATGGCTCCCTGTGCTTGACAGGGAGGCAGTGAGCAGTGGGTAATAAGATTTTTAGCCTGCATGCTCAGCCGGCCAATCTCCCCACAAGTGCCTTATCTTAATAAGCACTGCTTATTAAGATTAAAACTCCTTAGCAAAGTTTCTTGGTAAGAAGAGCTCAGTAAATATTTGGGAATGCACAAAATGGGAACATTTGCTGCTCCTTCTATATAAAGCTCTGATTGATCGCTACACAAACAGAACAATCTGTACACAAACAGATTCTGGTGCCTACACAGCAAGGATTGTGGGGCTAAAGGGGGCCTTTAGAGTCATCCATGCACTCTCAGCACACCTAAAGTGTTTAGCATAACTTAGCAACCAGAGTTGAGCATTGCTTATCAGCACAGGATACAGAATCATAGACAGAATGCTAGAATTGGAAGGGACCTTGAAAGGTCCTATTTCCTTCTGGGCAGAGACCTGAAAAACCCTGTTTACCAGAGGCAAAACTGGTTTGAGTATATGTAAACACATTGAGAAGTGAGCTCTCCTGTAAACCACATTCACCCTTCCCAAATAATCTGTCTCAAGCTAGAGGTCCAGTAGCAAGAGCATAATGGAATGGGGCTTAGAATGGATGCTGAGAGTAGGAAGGGAAGACTTACCCCCTAGGGCCTGCTTCATCACGAAATCCATAGTGCCAACTGAATTAGTGAGCTCTAGGCAATGGTGGAATTCTCATTCAGTGTTGCTAGTGGGAATCTTTGGGTCAGGTGCTACCTGGAAAGGAAAGGGGGAAAATCAGGTGAGTATGACTGACTAAGGTCAGAGTAAAACAATCCCAGCCAGGCAATGGACTTATCTGTCTCCCCACTTTGCATATGGAGGAAGAGTTAGCCCAATGCAGAACACGAAACATATATTAATTGTGTGTGTGTGTGTGTGTGTGTGTGTGTGTGTGTGTGTGTGTGTAATACACATCAGTTCAGAGACACAAAACCCATGCCAGATTTTATCCTTGTTTTTATGACATTTTAAAGAATTTTTAAAATTCTGCTTTTCTATATTATATATAACACTGAAGCCATAAAACTAAAACTGAAACATTAAGAACATCACTTAGGCCAAAGATCCATCTAGTCCAGCCTTCTGTCACCAACAGTGACCAGCCAGAAACTGCAAGCAGAACCTGATTGAGATAGCTTGATCGGATGCAAGTTCTCCAAATTCAACAATCAGAGATACATCTAAACAGAATCAGAGGTAAATAAACATGGGATTGCATAGACCTAGTTTGCAATTTCAATGTATACCTTTGATAATATTGTCCTCTGTTTCCCGTTATTGTTAGTTGTAAGCGGCTTTGAAGTGCTGTCTGTGTAGAGGGAAAATGGCATCAGAATACACAAGAAAAGCACTTCGTGGCAAGACCAAGCATCCATCTAGCCAAGCAACCCCCTTTCCCACAGAGGTAATCAAGCAGGGCGTGACAGCAATCACATTCGTCACACTTGCCCCCGAATTCCAAACCTGGCATTCAGCTACATACTGCCATTTATCTGTTAGGGTTAAAAGCCACTGATAGATCTACTCTCCACAGAAGTATCTAATGAATCCCATTTTAGAGCTATATCAGTCATGTGCTGTCACTATATCTAGTGGTAGTGAATGCCAATTGTGTATTGTGTGAGTTAAATTAATCAATTAATTGCCCAGATTGTGCATTGTGTGAAGAAGTACTTTTCTTTGATCTCACCTGACTCTGGTGTCCTGAATCTACTAGCATCTGAATTGACAGCGTAAAATTAGCAAGTCCAATTCTTAGATATGGGGCTACTGCAGCCACTGAGCAGCGCTGTCCTCTGTGGATTCATTTAATCCTATGCAAAGGCAACTAAGCCAGTGGCCACAACTCTGTCATAGAACCATAGAACTGAGTGAAGGCGGGAAGGGACCTGGGGGACCATCTAGTCCAGCCCCCTGCAATGCAGGAAACTCAACTAAGCATTCATGACAGGTGGCCATCCAACCTCCGCTTAAAAATGTCCAAGGAAGGAGAGTCCATCATGTCTTGTGGGTGTCTGTTCCACTGTCCAACAGCTCTTGCTGTCAGAAAGTTCTTCCTGATGTTTAGTCGGAATCTCCTTTCTTGTAACTTGAAGCCACTGGTTCAGGTCCTACCGCCAGGAACAGGAGAAAACAAGCTTGCTCCATCTTCCTCCAACGTTCCTCGTAAGACTTGGTTTAAGTCAGTGGCTTCATGCTTATAGAACGCAGATATTTCATAACCCAATCTTAAGATACCGTCGAGGAAACGCCGGCGTTCCACAGAGAAATCAGAATATGCCAAATTAACAGCAAGAAGTACTAAAATGCAGGGGGTGCGAGCAAGGCACCTGCCAAGAGAGCAGGCCTGTGCTCACTTTCCCAGGAGTAAGCCCAACTCAGTTCAGTGGGATGCACTTCTAAACAGAACTGTACAGGAATATGCTGTAACTGGCTTTTGTTTGGGCCAGTGCCATAGCTGCAAACAAAAATATAATGAGCATGCCCTTCTCTCTAATAGGAAGCACCATAGCTGCATTTCAGCATGGTAAATGGTAAAGTCCAGTCAAAGGCCACTGTGGGGTGCGGCGCTCATCTCGCTTCAGGTCGAGGAAGCCGGCGTTTGTCCACAGACAGCTTTCTGGATCATGTGGCTAGAATGACTAAACTGCTTCTGGCACAACGGGACAGCCTGACGGAAGCCAGAGTGTACAGAAATGCCGTTTACCTTCCCACCACAGTGGTACCTATTTATCTCCTTGCACTGGTATGCTTTCAAACTGCTAGGCTGGCAGAAGCTGGGGCAGAGCAAAGGGAGCTCACTCTAACATGCGGATTTGAATCACCAACCTTCCGATCAGCAAGCCCAAGAGTGGTTTAAACCATAGACATGAGTGCAGAAGTAAAGCAGGTACACCTTCCCATGCTTCTGCTTCTGGGGCAGAACAAATTTAAGGGCTGGTTTGTGCCTGTGTGCCTTTCACTCAGCAGCTGCAGCATCAAGTGACAACATGCAGGTTTGTAGAAATCAGTCATCGTAAACCTAACACCACAGGCAAGGATTTCCTGCCACCTCTTAGTGGCACGTTTTCAGTGGAAGCAGTTCATGTCATTAGTCATCTAGTATTGAGGACTCAAAGGATGTTCTGACTGAGCCAAAACTCAGGTTGAGTTAATTAACTGTGCATTAGTAGTTCTGAGTTGATACAGATGTCTCTTAAATCCAAAACCTCCACACAAGCTTATATTTGGGGCTTAATCCAAGGGTCGGAAGCTTGTGACCCTTGCTGAACTACACCTCCCCTCCCCTCCCCACAACTATAGGCTATGCTGGCTAGAGCTGATGGGTACTGGAGTCTAATAGCATCTGGAGGGCCATAGGTCCCCCATTCCCCGTCTTAATGGGAAACAAAATTCATCTCCAGATCTGTCTTCAGTTCCAGAATCTCACATAGTAAAATGCCTGCAAGACTAGTAACTATGCAACACATAGTAAAATGCCTGCAAGTAAAATGGCAAAAAATGCCATTTAAACATGTGCAGAGTGTGTGTCTCTTTTTCACCACTGAGCAACCTCAATGAACCCACACACATCTGGAATCAAGGGAAAGGACTCCCGGTCGATTGATGTGGCACTCAGATACATGTGGGCTCTGAAATCTCCTGTTTTAGGAGTTAGCCTCTGGCAGAGTTGAATATTGGCTGACTCAAGAGCTGGAAAGAATCCACTTCCCACTTGAGTCAATGGCCAAATTCTAATTTGCTTTCATAGACCTGAATGGGATGGGGAGTTTTGTAATTTACCCTTAGGTCACCTAGCTCACCTAGCAGGATATCCTAAACCTAAAGCATCTTGTGTAGATACCTGTCCACCCTTCTACTGAAAACCGACAAGAATTACATCCTGGGTTAAACTGCTAAAACACTTTGTATTGCTAGATGGCTTAGTCTCATGTGGTTCCTAATATAGTTGCACATGCCATTGGAAATATCCCGCCTACATAGTAGTCTTTTAAAATAGCTGCAGATGTAAATTTACTAGCTGAAGGGAGGCAATTTTAATGTATTTTTACTACAGACGCAGGCAGATGACAATACACTAACCTCTTTGTTCCTTTGCACGTTTCCCTTTACTTTCACTTAAAAGCCAGATTCCTTAAAAACAAAACCCCAAAAGCTTGAACAGCAACACCAGCGAGCTGCTCACTGTACTTCTGTAGCCAAGTTTAAGATGCTTCACAGTTTGCAGAAGACTCCTGCTGCGTGCATAATCTGAGGAGTCTGCTTGATGCAAGTTAGCAGGGAGTGCAGCCTGGAAAGGCAGTAACTGAGCTTGTGTCACAGATCAGGAGCCTCCCATTTCTGCTTCCCCCTCTTTACTAACCTATTTATGAGATCAAAGGTGAGGTTAAACAATGCCCCATATACTCATATACGAGGACGTGTGCATGTTGTAATGTGAAAAAGTCTTCTATACCAGTGTGTTTTGTAACATCCCGCCCCCCCTCCAGCCTGATGCGGACAACTGGAAGTGGCTGCAGCAGGAGTCGGCTTCCAGATAAGTGTACTGGCCAAAGACTAATCCTAAATCATATGTATGCTTACTTGGAAATAAGTACCATGGAATTACTCCAAAGTAATAATAGCATAGGATTACAGCTCTTGGCATATTCATTCTCGCCAGCGCTGTAAGTACAAAGGAACACAGGCAGTTGCCTTATACTGAGTCAGACCGCTGGCCTATCTAGCTCAGTATTATTGACACCGATTGGCGCTGGCTTTCTGGGGTTTCAGCCCAACAAAATATGCCCAACCTGGGCACAGCATGGACTCCGCCACTGAGCTTTAGTCCTTCCCACCCTTGCTGGGCCTGCTAAACATCGAGGTAGGGCCAATAGCACATGCTCTGCATGCAGAAGGTCCCAGGTTCAATTCATGGCATTACTAGGAAGGGTTGGGAAACACTCCAGTGTGAAACACTGGGTGGACACTGCCAGTCAGGGAAGATGATGCTGAGCTGGAGGGATGAGAGCTCTGACTCTGTGTCAGACAACTTACATTCGACTTCCTTAAGTGGACCCATTTAGTACTACCAGCACAAACCTGAGGCCGTGCCTCTTCTTTAAAGGAACAGGCACAAGTAGTATTATATATGCGAGGAAAGGTATCTCTGAACATGTACAAAGTGTTTCCCTCTCACCACTGAGTCACTGCAGTCTGTCCACACACATAGAGAATCAAGGCACAGGCCTCCCTTAAGAGACAGATAGTGGGGCTCCCATGCAATTCTCAGATGTAGTGCCTCTGCCTTAAAAAAATTTTTTTGGGGGGGGAAACCTGAAAACTAATAGCAATATTCCTGCACCACTGCCAAATCTTAAAACTACATCTAATTTCTTTTTAAAAAATCCTTTTTATTAAAGATTTTCTTGGGTTACAGAAGTATATAAATCGTCTCTCTTTTCAGATAAAAGAGTCATTCTTACGGATCAGTTATATTTGATGTGAGACTTTAAAGTTGGATACAGTGTCACTGTCTTTCTTTCTCTCAGGATAAGGATCTCTATCTACATTTGATACAAAGTCCTGTTTAATTCCCCAATCATTTGAAGGTTCCTTCTGCCACCAGTCACTGGTCACCACTTTGAGGTACAAAATCATCTCCATTGACAGTGAACATACTTACCCTGCTCCATTTAAATCTCCATCAACATCATTCCTACTGAGTAACTTCT